TTTTTTTTTTTTGAAAAGAGTTATTTTCACTTGTTTTGAAGTCTTGTTAAATTTTTTACACCGTTCAATAAAAAACTAAGTTTTTCACTCCAGAAAGTGTGAAAGGCATTGCGCGATGAATATGCGACAATTACGCGATGACATTGTGCGAAAGTTAAAAGTGCGAAGGTATTCGCATATCCCTTCGCACTTTTTGGGGTGAAAAAAGTTAAAGTGCGAATGCATTGTGAGATGAAAATGCGACAGCTATGTGACAGTTTTTCGCATAACCTTCGCATATGCAACAGTTATGCGTTGAATGTGCGACAGTTTTCGCATAACTTTTGCACTTTTCGGGGTGAAAAACTTAGCTTTTTATTGGGCGGTGTGAAAAACTTGATGTGTCTTTTTGTATTGGGGGTGAAAAAGTTTTTTTCCTTTTTTTTTCCTAATTCATATTTGTAATATTTATATTATTGGTTATTTATTTATATATTAAGATTTATGGAATAAATTATCTATTAACTTGATGTTAGTAGATTGACAATAATTAGATGGTCGAACTTCATTTAAAAATTTGACCTATTTACTCACTAAGTAGTTTTTTTTTTTTGGTAACAAATAAATTATTTGATTGTTCACAAAATTAATAACTAAAATGCTATTTATCAAATATTCAAAGTATTAGTATAATCCCCCTCTACATGTAATTGAGCATGAGTAGCAGTCTCGCACGTGTCGGAATTCTACTTGGCAAAAAAACATGCTTCGTAGTTTGGTCTGAAAAAAAAATAATATTATTCTAAATAATAATTACAGGTACGGTCACTCCGAAAATATTCAAAATGAACTTGATAATTTCATAATAATTTTAACTAATATAACTATTATTGTGTATGGGGAACCTTTAGTAATTATAGTGATTAACTAATATAACCTCAATTTATTTTAGAAGCTCTCAATCGGCTCATTAAAAACCTTAAATTAGCATGATAAATACATAATATTTAATTTTAAACAATTATTATTATTATTTAATTTTAAAAATAATTTTCTTAACAATTACCCTTAGTATATTTGATTTTCTTAACATTCTCTCTCCTTTTGTTTTGTGTAGTAGTTTCTTGAAGTGAAATTGATGTAATGGTGTGTGGGCCGTTTTGCAAATACATAAACTTGTTTCGTAAAGGAAAAGTGAACAACACATTTTGACTTTGTGGGTCATTCATTATCTTTTAGAAACAATAATTAAGGAATAGAAGTAACAAAATGGAAAAACAATCCATGATAATTTCATATTTGTACATTTAAGAAATTTAAAAATAAAATGACAATCATTGATATATTAAATAAATAAATAATGTCCACAGTGACATATTATCTTTTGAAATAATATATATTTTTTTTTAATTTTCTAAATAATAATCGGTTCTATTTTCTTCTTTTTTGTCATGTGGATACACTAGCTTTCTACAAAAGCAAAATAATCATCATTCTAACATGCCAATCATAAAAATTAGTTTTAGGCTTTGTTTGGTTCGGAGGAAACGGAGGGGAGGGGAAGGGAGGGGAGGGAAATTTTTAGTTTTCTCTTGTTTGGTTCGATTTTAAGTAAGGGGAGGGATTAAGATTTTCCCTTCAAATCCCTTGGAGGAGGGAAAATACACACCCCTCCAAAAGTGGGAGAATTTGGAGGGGAGGGAAAATTTTTAACATCAAATTACTCTTTTGACCTTATTGTGAATTATTTTATTATTTTTTCTTTACATCATTAAGGATATATTTGTCATTCTAACATTATTTTCCCTCCCCCTCCATCTTCTAACCAAACAAGGTTAATCATTTTCCTTCACTTCTCCCTCTACAAAATCCATCCAAACAAGGTAAATTATTTTCCCTTCCTTCCCCTCCCCTCCCCTCCCTTCCATTAAATTCCCTCCCCTCCCCTCCCCTCCCGTGAACCAAACATAGGCTTAAACTTTTAATGGGAACCTAATAATACAAAATTTAAAACCCTACAAAGAACATTGTAACAAGTCCATGATTTTTAATTTGGGTAGTAAGTAACTTTTATATAGTCAAGAACATCTTTATCTTTTTCTAGATAATCCAGTCAATTTATACACTCCTATAGCTACGGCCTACATTATATCAGAATTACAATCTTAAGTTAAAACAAGACTTTTGCTTTTTATTATTTTTTTTCTCCTCCTCCCCTTGATAATAATAATTAGTCTCTACCATTAGCATTTCATTAAACAGGAAAATTAGAAGAGAGAGAAAACAACATCGAATGTAGGGTTCTTACCGAACTGAACTGATCGCAAACAAAGCTCGTTCAATAGTAATTGATTCAAACTCAAACATGAAATTATGCTCGTTTAGGTATTGACCACTCCTTCGAGGGTGTGCATGTGTTCGACGACAAAAATCCACTATGACTAAGGCCGAGAGGTTGGGTGGTCGCATGTATCGACCACTTTTTCGAGGGTGGGCATGTGTTCGACGACAAAAATCCATCATGACTAAAGCTTTCGGGCTGGATTGTCGATCCTAGTATTGGGTCGTTGAAGACATGAAGGACATATAGTTAGAGGCAAGTCAAAGATTTTTACTTGATTTTGGTTTTGTCGAATTTCTTTTTCGATCTCAGTGGCAGGTCGATGGAGTTCATTTGGAGCAATACACCGAGCTTATTAGAGACCTTGGATGCAAGTCGATATTTTTCCTTGGTTCTGATTTTCTCGAAATTGTTTTTTGACCTCAGGCACAGGTCGATGGAGTTCATTTGGAGAAGTTTATAGAGGTTATTTGAGGACATCGATGACAGGTCGATGATTTTTACTTGATTTGAGATTTTGTCGAACTTGTTTTTCGACCTCAGTGGCAGGTCGAGGGAGTTCATTTGGAACAATTCAAGGAGTTTATTTGCAGACTTCGGTGGCAGATCGATGATTTTTATTTGATTTATATTTTGTCGAATTTATTTTTCGACTCAGTGGCGGGTCGATGGAGCTCATTTGGAACAATTCAAGGAGTTTATTTGCAGACCTCGGTGGCAGGTCGATGATCTTCATTTGATTTCAGTTTTTTCGAGTTTATTTTTCGACCTCAGTGGCAGGTCGATGGAGTTTATTTGGACCAATTCAAGGAGTTTATTTGCAGACCTCGAGGCAGGTCGATGATCTTTGTTTAATTTCAATTTTGTCGAATTTATTTTTCGACCTCAGTGACAGGTCGAGAGGATTTCGGCCTCAGTGTGGCGTGAGGATAGTCGGTTTTCGAGAGGATAAACAACATGGTTGAATTTCAAATTTTGAACTGAGGGGTGACAGGACGAGGTAGTCGAGAAGGTTTACCTCTGAGCGAAGAGAGCTCGAACATGGTGGTCAAGAAACAACAGACGTGAGTTCAAATTTTCATATTCAAGACTTCGGGGAAAGATCGAGAAAATCTATAAAAGTATCATGGAAATGCAAGTAAGCAGGTCGAGAGATATCAAAGGAAGGTCGACATTGCAAAATGAAGAGCAAAGGATTCAACTCTTGGAAAAGGTTTGGCCCCAGTGACGGGTCACTCGATTTTCAGCCTCAATGGTCGTTCGATGTTTGGTGTTCGACCCCGGTGGTGGGTCACTCGATATTCAACCTCAGTGGTCATTTGGTTTTTTTGTGTTCGACCCCAGTGGTGGGTCACTCGATTTCCACTTCAGTGGTCATTCGACTTTCGGTGTTCGACCCTAGTGGCGGGTCACTCAATTTTTGACCTCAGTGGTCGTTCAGTTTTTGGTGTACAACCCGGTGGCGCGTCACTCGATATTTGACCTCAATGGTCGTTCGGTTTTTGGTGTTCGACCTCGGTGGCGGGTCACTCGATATTCGACCTAAGTGGTCAGTCAGTTTTTGGTGTTCAACCCCAGTGGCAGGTCACTCGATTTTCGACCTTGGTGGTCATTCAGCATTCGGTGTTCGGCCCCAGTGGTTGGTCACTCGCTTTTCGACCTCAGTGGTCATTCAAGTTTTGGTTGTTCGACTCCAGTGGCGGGTCACTCGGCTTTCGACCTCAATGGTCATTCGTTTTTTGTGGTTGACCCTAGTGGAGGGTCACTCGGTTTTCGACCTCAGTGGTCATTCAGTGTTTATTTGGGTCCCGGTGCTCATTTAGTGGTTTTGTGACTACTTGGTGGTCGAGGATTTATTTAAATTATACCCTCAGTGGCAGGTTGACGGAAACAACCCGGAGAGGCATTTCACTCTTGGATCGAGTCATGCTTACTAGACCAGAGTGGGGGGGAAAGGGACTAGATGATATAAGATATTATACTAGACCGATTTTGATGGATAAGAAGGAATATATTGGAGATTAAGTCCACATAATGGCTAAGACACATAGCATAATAGTATGGATCAAGCCCAACATGGGCTCTAAGGTACACTTCCTCTATAAAAGGAGACTAAGGTATCTCATTAACTCATTCTCTCTACATTCATAATTACACTCTTGAGATTTGGAGTTTTGGAATGAGATTGCCTTAGGTATCGGAGGTCCGACGCCGGGACCCACCCCCCGACATTGGGTTTTTTGCAAGTATGGAGATCGTTCGAATTGAA